AGGCCGGACCTCGGGGATGTGCTGCTGAGGAGGCGGCCGTGCATGGCTGGGGCCCGGGGCCCTCCCCTGGCTGGGGCAGCGCTGGGCTCCTTCCCCTGCCCCAAGGTGAGCACCCCCAGCGCTGGGGAGACCCGGGTTTTGCTTCATCTGCCCCTTCGCTTTCACTTTCTTTGTTACGCTGATGATCGCCAGCGATTATCAGGTTTATGTAGTTAAGTGTCCCTGCTTTTCTGGGGTTCTGTTGAGCTCTTCAGGCTGGCGGGGTCTGAGGTGACTGGATTGCTGGTTAGTGAAGAGCTTTTGTTTTTAGAGAGAGCAGTCTGTGGGGAGAGGTTCCTGAGGCGTTTGAAGTAGTGGCGAGGACAGGAAAGCTCTGCATAAACATGTTTTGCTTTTGTCGACAGGGGGATTTGTTGACCTGTAAGTTTTACCAAGAGATTAAGGAAAAAATGCTCATTCAATTTTGTGCTCGTCAGGCCTAAGATCCCAAGGATACCTGTAAAACAGTGTCATGAACTGTAGCATTTTAGTTCTGGGAAGCGTGTGTTAAGTGTGGATGGGGGATTGTTTTGTATATGAAGTGAATTTTCACATGTGATTTTATAGTCTGCAGGTGTCACAACTTGTTTTCCTTTCAGGGCTTTGCTTCTCACGTTTGCTACTCAGCACTCATTTCCTGTAATGTTCATCTGTGTTTCTTTGTTTAACTGCATGTGCCCAAATCATAAAAAAACATCCAAAAGAATACATGTTTATGCTGCTAATGAGTTACATAAATTCTGAAACTCATCACACTTGAAAACTAGGTACTGCTGTGGCTGAAGGGAAATATTTTGCCCCTTCCAGTCTTCAGGCTTCTGTTAATTCCTCCTCCTTTCCACCCAAAGAATGAGCACATGTCGATGGTGTACACCGGGTGGTTCTGACACCACGGAGTTCCTGAAGAGCTATGCTTTTAAAGAGTTGTCCCTGGAAGATCTTGAAGGAGCCAATGATGATCTCTGTTACTGCCTGGAGTGTGTGGTCGAATACCACAAAGCACGGGAAGAACTGCCAAAGTTGCATGAGGTAATTAAGAGATTTGGGCCCTGCCCGTGATTGGCCAGGAACTGAAGGAAAACTTCAGGAGAGGCTTCTGTGGTCCAGCCTCAGTGATGGGGGGAGTTTGTGCAGGGTTTGTGTTTTATTGGGCTTGGGGGGTGGGGTATGTTGCTTTTCAACTCCTTGCTTTTTTTATATTGAGTTACAAAGAGCCGTTTGTAAAGCAGAAGGACCCTCCTGTTTTGCATGTATTCAAATTAGAACTAAAACGGTAATGGGAGGTTGCTGACTAGACATTATAGCTTGGACTTTATTCATGCTGTGATGGTTTGACATCTGAAAAAAAGAGCACCTGTCAAGCAAACTAACAGCTCTACTTCTTTAATGTGTTTTCTTCCTTCCTTTGGCTTCTGTTCAGCTTTGGGTTGTTCCTCTTTTGCATCCATTTCTCGTTCATAGTTTGATACTAAGCTTGAATTTCAGCAGTCTGATCTTGCAAACCTGTGAGACTGATCAAAAAAGTTTTAAAACTCTTTATTATAAGCCTTTTACAGTTCTCCCTCAGGGGAGGGGGTTTCACACTGAGGGTTGGGTTGATCCAAGGGGCATGGTTACACCACAACAACTAGTCAGTTAAATTTCTCTGGAGGGCAATCCCATCTGCCTTTAGACTGGAGATAAGTGGAGTGACAGGACTGCAGAAAGTTCTGTGTCTGTTTACTGTAGGAAATAGCCTTGATTTCTAATTGATATTTGAAGCAGTTCCTTTAGATGAGTGCTGTTAAGTGAGCCAAATCCCCTGCAGATATTTAGCAAGTCAGTCTGTTTGCATCGTTTGCATTCACTCCCTTCCACTAGCACACTGCAAAATATGTGAGAAGGCAAGATTTCAGAAATGTTTTCCCATCTTCCTAAATAAAATAATTTTCTGGATTGTGTGCTGCTTTGCATTGGCCAGTGGAACAAAACTTCATGCCTAACCTGTGGCCTGAGAGAATTATGGAAACTGTTTATTAATATTTAAAAGAACTATAAAAATACTTCTGCTTTGACTGCCACTCTTAAAAATTACTTTATGATCTTAACTCTCAAGTGAGAGTTTTGTGGTTTGCACAGTCTGAACACCTTGTCAAACACTTTGTTTCACAACATGCTTGGAAACTTTTAAAAATGAAATTAAAAGTTTTGAAAGTCTCCTGAAGGTTCTTGCATGTGACTATAATTAATGTTCTTAATGACTTTCTTCACAGATGCACTTTGATTAGGGTTTTTTTCCCCTACTCAACAGGTCTTGTGGGAGTTGGAAACCTCCCGTCTTGTTGCCCACATAGAGAAATCCATCCAAGAGGAAGCTGGAGATGATGATGAGTTGATTATAGTGAATGAGGGTGAAGAGAGACAGCTGTCTGGTTATGTGGGCCCGGATTTTGAGAATAACCTGCGAGTGCCCCTCCTAGAAATACTGAAATATCCATATCTGCTGCTGCACGAGAAAGTCAGTATGTATCTTTAAGTGTAGTTGTAAGGGTATTGTTTCTACTGAAGGAGCTGCAAATAACTAATAGTGAAACCAAAGTGTGTATGCATATATATTTGTTTTTACACTGACCGGTTGTTTGTTTTGTGAGCCTGTAAATTAGCCCTTATTATAACTGTGTTGGTCCTTTTAGGTGAGCTGTGTGTAGAAGTGCTGTGTAAAATGGAAAAAAATCAGAGTTCCTTTCAGGTCTTTGAGAAATATCCAGGAATTTATCTCTTTTTGGTACACCCAAATGAAGTGGTAAGTTCCTTCTTTTTTATTCTGCTAGTTTTAAATAACATCAGAACAGATTCTGATTTCTAATGGCAAGAATTTGATAGAAAGATTGAATTTGAATTTCTGTATTTTTCTTTAATGGTATATATATAAAATAGCAATTTCAGTAGTCATAGAGTTACTCTTGCTAAAGGAGAGAAGACTCTTTCTTAGACTTCTAAACTCACTTCACTTGTCTAAACTTCTAAAATCACTTCACTTGAATTTAGTTGTCAGAAGTTGCAGATGTTCAGTGAAGCTGGAAAATGAATCCCCTAAACTCCCAAATGGAATTCTCAAGTGGGCCAGGATTTGTAATTTAGTGTATTAATCCCCTTTGGATTTTTTGCTGGTTAAAGGGATTTGAGAGATGACAAAAAAATACCTGAAGTTTTCAAAGCATTAGATGAGTCTGAGTGCCTACTTTTCTGCCTTCTTTTGAAGTTTGTGTATTACTCTGCTGGAAAGCTGGTCCTTCAGACTACATGTGCACATTCTAAGTATAAAGCTGGTGACAAAAATCGGGAAGAGTGCCAAAAGATAGTGGTAATTCAGAAAATTACCTGCTGGAATTAGGAGTATCTGTTGAAATAGCAAATCCTGGTTTCATGCACCACGTTAACACTGAAGGGACTGGACTCAGTGCTTTCTTGGCAAGATCCTAAAGTCTCTGTGTGGTGTGTTTATCTGTGTAGGGTGAATTTGGATGTGCAGCTCTCCAAGGATTATTGAATTGTAACTCAAGTAAGCTGTTTATTTACATCAGGAGAGTGTGAGTTCATCCCATTGTTATCCCACCTCATCTGATGGTACTTTGGAGAGTCAGGTTCCACGTGCTGTGTCCTTTTCAAGGCTGATTTAAACACCAGCGTGGAGTTAAACATTTCATGTTGTCCTAAGAAACAGTTAAAGGGTTTAATAGTGGTGTACTTTGCTCTTCCTGAAACTCTGAAGTTTTCTCTATATGTCAGAGAATGATTCCAAGGCAAAATATTCCAAGAGTCCCTACTGGCAGCACAATTTGCCAACTGTTGTTAGAGCATACAGTTATCTAGGTGGTAAATATTGGTCAGTAACATTTAAACAATATAAAGCAAGTACAAAACCATATGCTATCCCTCTGTCACAACTTTATCTGTGTATGTTATGCTGAATTTTAGCTTCTTTGTGACCAGCATTTTATTGTAGGTATATTAAGCCTGTTTCTGAGGCTGCATGGTTTTGAAAAAACTCTTGCTTGCACCTATGAAAATTTACCATAGTAAAAATCCATTTTTGTCCCATTTGTAGTAGCAGTGTTTCCTAATCTTCCAATGTTGTGATTTTACTTGTTCTTTTTATTGAAACAGAATTTGTTTTAATCCTTAGATTCGTCGATGGGCCATCCTAACAGCAAGGAATTTAGGGAAGGTTGACAGGGATGATTATTATGACTTGCAGGAAGTGCTGACTTGCTTGTTCAAAGTTATTGAGTTGGGGCTTTTTGAGAGTCCAGATATTTACAGCTCTTCAGTGATTGAAAAGGGTAAACTCATCCTTCTACCATCCCATTTATACGATACTACAAACTACAAGAACTATTGGCTAGGTGAGTATTTACGATCAGAGGTGAATTTGCACATGTAGCTTCTCATGTTGTAAACACTTCAGGTCAGAGCTCTTCTATTTCATGGGGGCTGTTTATTTTGGGCAGGTCAAATGGGAGAATTGAATGTTGCACAGCTGCAGTAGTAAGGTGGTGTTTGATTAGCTCCACATGACTGATCTCTTTGGTCAAGTGTTAGTCTGGTAAGGATGCTTGGAAAGTGATCTTTGTGGTGAAAATTGGAACAAATATTTGTTAATCTACAGACCTCTTGCTTTCCTTTGTGTGTGTAGGGATTTGTATGTTGCTAACAGTGCTGGAAGAGCAAGCCATGGACTCCTTGTTACTGGACCCAGACAAACAAAATGATTTCATGCAGTCCATACTTCACACCATGGAGAAGGAAGCAGTTGGTAACTAATTTTGATACTCAAATTAAGACACTTCTTAGTCTACGTTTCATCTTCATCAAACTTCCCTAATTGAGTAAATTCTTAGTAGTGTAATGCTGATGTGATCTTAACTGAAGCTTATGTATCTTCTAGAAGCTGGCAGATGTTGCATGTTTGAGCAATACTGACAAATACTGAAAAATGATATTCAAACAAAGTCATGAGAGGAGAAGGGACTGCAGTGCTTTGCCAGATGCCTTAGAGGCTTTGACAGAATAAATCTGTGTTTTCTGCCATTCTCTCTTCATTTCATATACAGGTTGTATGGGAATGCACATTTCACTGGGGCATAAAGTTTGAATGTTGAGTCCTAAAATAAACAAACACCTTCCTTGGAATTGCTGCAACCTGGTTAAAATTTGACTCTTCCACCCATCACTTTGAGGGAACCCCTTTTGCAGCTAGGAATTTAGACTGGTATACCTTGGCCCAGTCTTGTAGGCCACATGCTGTGGTGTAGCCCAGGAATGGTACATGAGCTCAAGACCAGGGCCACCTCTTGGATGTCTAGATCTTTATAAGCTTAGTATGTTTATTGAGGGTATGATGCTATCTTAGATGAAGAAGAACGAACACACTTGAAGGAAAACCAATTGCTTGTACCTTAAATTTGAAGTATAAATTGTAAGAGCCATGTAAGTTGTACCCAGTTCTTAGAATAGCAGTACAAAATTCAGTGTGGAAGAATCAGTTTCAAAGACTTGAGAAACATTAGTAATAGTTATCCAGGTTCCTGTTGATATTGGACTGCATGAGGAGCAATGTCTGCAGAGATAAGTGAGGTTGACTTTTTTCATCTTTTTTCTGGGTTTGAAAATCTAGTTGCAACTTCCTAGAATACATGTCTTTATATTAGTAATTAAGAAAAAAATTAATGCAAACTGACCGCTTTCAACTTCAGATTAGTCTAAGAATGTCCAGAACTCTTGCATTTCAACTCTCCCCAATATTACTGTTATGTTTCAGATGATTCCACTGACCCCTTCTGGCCAGCGCTGCATTGTTTCATGGTTATTTTGGATCAGCTCGGATCTAAAGTGTGGGGTCAGCTTATTGATCCTGTCCAGGCCTTTCAAACCATTATCAACAGTGTGAGCTACAACAATGAAATAAAAAATATACGCAATAGCTTTAAGAGGTCAGTTTTATTAAGAGATTAGAACAGTTTTATGACTTTGATACCAGGTAGAGTAGTAGGGTCGGTCTTGGTTTTCTTGTCAGTGCTGCCTTGATTTCGTTTGGGGGAGGGAGAGGTGGCAGGGTGAAAAAAAATAAATCAGATGTTGCCAGCTTCAAGCAATGAAAAGATGAAGTAGGTCCCTTAAAATTGTGAGGTTCTTTCAAAAATTATATGCTTGTTTTTTTTCTGACTGCACTGATGTCTGTTATCCTTTTCAGGATTTTCCTGAATCAGGAGGGCTGCTGTTGAGGGCTTATTTAGTGCTATAACCACCTTGTTAAGTGGTTTAATGAAGTTGATGTTTAATGAAGGCTGCTGTGTGTGACACTCGATAAAATTATGGGAATTCCAGAGTTATCGGTGGATGACATAGTTTTAGATTTTATTGTAGTTGCAGGTGACAACTTGAGTTTACTTTCAGCTCGTGTTAAGTATTAAGTATTTCTCAAAATTAGTTTCCTTAATGGTACTTTATGATCTTACAAGTTTGTTTTTTTTTCTTTTTCTGGGTGCATTCCTTTCAGGGAGGAACTGGCCTTTAATAACTTGGATAAACAGTGAAGTGCTGCAATGAAATGCTTTACCATCAGATACTCTTTTGAAAGGATTTGAGTGCATATATGTTAAGATAAAGAGTTTTTTAATCACTTCCAAGCGACAATATTACAAGTATTGAACTGAAAGTTAATTAGGTGAAATGCCTATTCAGTGCAGCAGTGATGGGTTAGGACATTGCCAGGAAGTCTAGAAACAGCTCTGTGGAGCAGATTTTTGTTACGTAAACTTGACTTTCACCTTTTGGCATGCTGTCCCCTTTAAGAATTCTTATATATTATGTATATGTTATTATATTACTATAATTATATAGATCTTTTTATAAGAATCCAAGCCCCAAGACTTTATGAACACCACCTATTTTTGAGCACTGAAACTGTCTAATTTTTAAAAGTTGGTAAAAAACAGTTCCTGAATAACTGTACCAGTTGTTGACTGTTTTCCTGTGGTATATTTTGAATCAGCTTTGAGTGACAGTGATTTAAATGTGCAGTATTTTTATACATACAGTATAATATCCTAGGTAGCTACAGCTACATAAATATGGCATGTTAAAGATAGCTGAGGATGGTGTATTAAAGGAGGTTTTCTTCAGTTAAAGAAGCTTTTGGAGTGTTGTGTTCAAATAGTTGCATACAAAGTTTGAGTGATTGAACTGCATTTGTGCATAGAAAATTCAAAGAAATTGGAATTTTTCTGGGTGTTTGGTCTGGGTAGTAAAATCCATGGCTTAGTAGAAAGCTCTTGTTTTAGAGGCAGTTACTTCCCCTGCCTTTTACAAGCAGATAGAACAAACTCTGCAGTTCTAATTATGATTTCATAGGTATGTTTCATCATTGACAAGTTCTAATAGTCATGTGGTCAGTTTCTGAAAAGTGAAATCTGGGTCTTGGGCAGTTGGCTTTGGTATAAAGTTAGTTGAGTCTATAATGATTTGTTTTTCATTTTAGGACAAAATCTGAACCAGAGTCAGACTACAATGATGACATGGTTACTTGCAGTCAGATTGTGTATGATTTTAACACAGAAAAGCTTCAGAAGGTATTAAAAAATGTTCTATTTCCCTGTTCTTTGAACTTTGATCACTGAATGATACTGTCAGTTTAAACCATCTCAGAAGATGCTCTGTTTCGACTAGTGAGTTTCTAAATAAAAAAATAATACATCATGTATGTCACCATCATGTGCCCTAATTAGTAGCCAGTCTGGTCACCTCTTGTTTACTTGGTACTTCCAGGCTGTAAGAGGAAAGAAGAATGGGTTTGTGAATTAGGCAGAGATAGCATTAAAGCCCAAGAATTCATATCCAGATGGAAACAAAACTGAATTAAATTATTTTAAAATACATTGCTCTTTGTATTCTTGTGTTTTCCTTTTTGTTTCTTAGATTTCTAAACTAGTGTATTGAGTATGGAGTAATGATGTACACTTTGATTTACTTTCAAATGATAGACTGTGCTCCAAAATGGCACCATTATTTTCTTGTTAGAAGGCAGAGGAAGTTGGTGTAAGACACTCACACATTTGTGTCATCTTCTCTTGAATTTATGAAACGTCTGTTAAAGTCTTTAAATGGGTATTTGATAATCTGAGGTTAAATTATGTCAGCATAACATCATCTTTGGAGGATTTCACAATGATTTTTCAAGGAATTTACTACTTTACCTGTTTTAGGAAGTTAGTTCCTTCTATGTAAGTTAGTTTGACCTTTTTTCATTTTTTAGTTTAGATTTTTACTTACACTAGGATATAAAATTACTGTATAATGAACATATATTTGAAAGAAAGTAACCTCTATGGCTAGAACAGAAAACTGGCAGATTCAACTGCGGAGGATGATGTGTGTGGTGAATTTATTTTCCAGGATACTGGATGGAAAGCTGCTATTTGCCCAGACTACCTCCCCAGCATGTATGAGGACATGCAAACACTGGCTCATATGCTGCAGTCTGACATTGGCAGAGACATGCGCATTCATAACAGCACGTTTCTGTGGTTCATCCCTTTTGTTCAGTCTCTTATGGATCTCAAGGACTTGGGTGTAGCATATATAGTAGAGGTCATTCACTACCTTTACTCAGAAATCAAAGACATTCTCAATGAAAGGATCCAGCAGTGTGATAAGATCTCGGAATTTTTTGTCTTAATCTTGGTGTCGATTATTGAGCTGCACAGGAATAAGAAGTGCCTGCACTTGCTATGGATTAGCTCCCAGGAATGGGTGGAAGTGGTGGTGAGGTGTGCCAAGCTTCCAGCTATAGCATTTACACGGTGCACTGAAAAAGGCTCTGGACACTGTGTGAGGGGTTCATCAGGAATGTCTTTACAAGCTTCTAACTCCGTGCAGCACGCGTGTGTGCAGCTGATCCGCAGCCTTCTGAAAGAAGGTTGTCAGATGGGGCAGCAAACTCTTTGCAAGCAATACCTGAACAAACTCAATCTTTTTCTGCGAGGAAATTTATCTTTAGGTTGGCAGTTGAACGTCCAGGAAACCCAAGAATTACAGATGTGTTTAAAGCAAGTAATAAGAAATATAAAGGACAGAGCATTGAACACCTCTGCGCCAATAGAAAACAGTGCAAGCTCTACAACTTTGCCCACCATTTCAGTCAAGCAGGAGAAGAGTGGACGTGGTGATGGATGTGGCAGAGATGGCCTTTGTTCACCAGCTGCTCTCATATCAAAGGAAGGCAGAGATGAAGATTGTCCAGAGAACCCTTTCACTAGAAGAAAGAGTGCCTGGGAAGAGGAATGTAGAGATGCATCTAAAAGTTCAATATCTTGGACATCCACAGAAGGCCTCTTGGTGAATATTAAAAAGGAACCTAATGACCTGACAACTCCGGAATGTGTCTGCCCATGGAACTCTTTGGCAACAAAGGAATGTGGGAAAGTTGAGGAAAACAGGAGCAGTGATCTCGTGGTGGGGAAGTGCACTATGGATGATCAGTGCGTAAATCCAAATACCCAACGTTCAGATTTCAGAAGAATCAGAGAGCTGGAAAACAAAGGTGAAGCAGGACCCATAGCACCAGTGCACCTGGCTGCTCAAACTGGTTCTCCAGAAGATGGTTACAGCTCAGATGGAAAGGCAAGCAACACGTTTTCTAGTACCTCTTCAAAGTTGAAAGTGGATGCACAGAGACTGATGAATTTGAAGGACATGCTGCAGAAAACTGAATGGCCCTCAAAAGTACTGCAGCCTACCAAGCCAAGTGACTTGAAAAGCTGCAGTTTAACAACAAGTGCTTCAAAAGCAGAGGTGGAGAAACCTAAACTTTGCACTGGCTATCTCTGTGCTACCAAAGATTGTCATAAACATCAGGGAGTGAATATTGTGTATGAAAATGAAATCTCTGTTGATTCTCCATCTTGGAGGAGTTGTGAAGGTGCACAGAAGAAAAGTATCAACAGTGCTTTTCAATCCAGACTGGTCCCCACTAACCAAGTGTCCAAAGAAACACCACTCGTTTGCTCTAGCTCCTCTAAAAGTAAACCTGGTGTGCAGGAAGATGAAGACAACAGTATTTTGCTTTCAGGGATTAGTGACACTGTAGTGAAAAAAGAATCTACTGAAGAAAAGTCAGGTTTACTGTTGAGGTCTGTCTTTATGAAAGACCCTGAGATGCAAACTTCAGACCAGGAACAGGCTAATTTAAATGGCTCAGGTAAATATGACTGTAAAGGTCAAATTCCAAAGACATTCAGTGTGGATAAAACTTCAGCAAATGATTGTGTTCCATCTACCTCTGAAAACAAGAGGGACACATCTAACCCTGCTTCCCATATCAGGCTACTGTCTGTGAAGAGTGAATCAAATGACAGGTTGTTCCAATTCTCAGAATATTTCAAGAGAGAAAACAATTTAGTGGGGAAGAAAGAGGAGAATTGTGTGAAAACTGTTTCTGAAGATAATACTTTATCAGACTCCCAGATTGACAGAGACCTCAGTAAATTATCTCTAGCTGCATATGCCAAAAGTGTCAATTTTCCTTTTGATTCAAGCCAAGAAAGCTCAGTCCATCATAACCTATGTGATATTAAAAGAAAAGTGAAAGGTGCTGTAAGATCTTCCGTTGATGACCAAAGTGCTCAGCCTCCCTGTGATGCAGATTGCCATGACAATGAAGTAATTATAATTTTGGACTCTTCTGATGAAGAAAACAACATGGCTGACAAGGAGAAAACAACAAAAAATAATGAGAATGCGTGTCCTGAAAAGCAGCCTTCAACTTCAAGCTGCATTTCTGACTCAAAGTCACCAAACTCTCCTTTGTTACTGCAAGACTGTGATTCTCAGTACTTTGAATTTGAAACAGAAGATGAGGTCTTTTCAGTGTGGCAAGATACTCAAGACTATACTATGGCAGCAACTCAAGAGTATAAACAGGATCAAGTTTCAGCATCAGTTAATAATGGTAATTCCAATGGCTCACTGGAAGATCACACAAATGAGTGGGGTTATGATCTGGATTACCTAAGTGATGAAACTATGGAAGAAGAAGCAAAGTTGGTAGAAAAGCAGATAGACAATAATTCTCATCCCGAAGAAGCTGATAATGCAAAGGAAGTAACTAATTCAGCATTGCAAGAGTCTAGTAGTAAGGGAGATGCAAAAGAACAACTGGAGAATTTGGCAGACAAAGGTCCTGTTGCTAAAGACTCCACCTTGGGCTCAAAACTGACTGAACCCAGAGCATCTACATCTAAAATGTCATTAGCTTCCAAGCTGGCCCTGAAGAAGAACAGTCTGAGCCCACGGAAGAGTATAGCAAAATCCAAGGTAGCAAGAGCTATTCAGAGAAGCCCTAAAAAGCCTCCTTTTCTTAAACCAGCCCAAAATAAAAAGCTACTTCAAAGTACCTCAAAAAATTCACAATCTGGCGGGTCATTGCCTGCTGTTATTCCTCCAAGGAAGGTCAGGCAGTGTCCTGCACCCTCCACCACTGCAGAAAAGCTGGGTTTGAAGAAGGCACCTCGTAAAGCCTTTGAATTATCCCAACGTTCCTTGGAGAGCCTGGCTGAGCTGCGCAGCCACGGGAGAGCTGCAGGGAGGGTGGCACTTGCACAGAAACGGAAGAGTAAACTAATTGCTCCTCAGAATTTGTCTGTAAAATACAATAAAAAACTGCTAGCCTGCCAAGACCGTCTGTATTTTGGGCAGACGAGGCCCAAAAAAGGTGTGAAACATCCTGTGGGAAGTTCTGAGAGTAGAAACAAAACAGTTAGGAAAGTGGATGCAAATTCTAGGAAACAAACACCTACAAGTTTTGAGCTTGGATCTGTAGAAAACCCAAGAGACAAAAAAAGAGAAGAGACAAATGTCTCTAAAATGCTTACTTCTTCAGACTTGAACAGAAGATCAGAGGGTAACAGTATGATGGTTCCTCCTGTACCTCTGGGTTCAAGTCTCTCTTCTGCTACTCTTGCTCAAGATGGTCAAGCTGAACCTTCAGGAGAAGGTTGCAGTGTCCAGCCTGGGTGTGAGAAGACAGCTTCAAAAGAAAATGGGTGTAAACCAAATGAAAACAGTGAAGATGATGATGATGATCATCTGTTTTTAACTCAGTCAGATCCTAAGGATGAGGAATCACGTTCTCTGGAGGAAGGTGTTGAAGATGCTACTAAAACTAGTAAAAAACCAGAGGAAACAAATAGTGCTGAAAGTCTTCAGCAGAAAGACTCCTTGACTACTGTGAAATGTAAGTACAAAAACTGCATGGAGAAGGTAGAAAAACCAAGAGAATATTGCAGTAACCATTCAGCCACCAGCTCAGAAGCAGACCACTTGTTTGCCAAACCTCTCCTGCCACCTTCTAAACCAAGAAAGCCTTCCACAACCAAAATTTTCAGCTCGGCAAGTTCCTCACGGAATGCAGCCTTCAGCAAAGACTTTGAAGATGTTAAGAAGCCCCCGCCAGCTTCAAGAAACAAAGAGAATGCAGCAAAACCACCACATGCAAGGGCTGCACCCCCAGGAAATCAGACTTGGAAGCCTCTAAGTTCCAGTAATGTACCTCAGCTCCCTAGCTCTAATGTTCTCCAGCCGCAGAACAGACAGAATTACAATGTTTCAAACATTGTCAGAAGACCTGCCCAAGACGTGTGTCCTGCCTTCTTTGAACCTAACCCCCGGGACCATAGTACTTTTGTTAATGAAGTCCTAAAATGGACTTACGAAATGTTTGCAAACTCCAGCGAGTGTGGACCTCCCAGTGGTCTCCTGCAGTCTGTAGTAGCCTCTGTTCCTGTCCAATTTTGGGGAGAGAAACATTATTTTGAGACTTTTTTCCCCTTGATGATGCTAAATGCCTTTGAAACAGTAAGTAGCTACCTGCCTCTTGGTTTGTTTTCAAACCTAGTGCCTTTTACTAGGAGGTTAAAAACTGGTTTATGTCCTCTGATGATCTTGTGAAAGTGTTCAGATAAAGATCTGAATGGAGGAATGATTTCAGGGAAATAACCTAGATAGGTGTGTTTACAATTGGGGACTGTCAGTGTTACCTCAGTGAAGCTTTATGTTTTGGGTTGTGCATCCACAATAGCCTGAAAAGGAGGTGGTTCCTCTTTCTTCGTAGCATATAAAGCTTAAAACAAGAATCTTTGTTTAAGAAGCTGAGGTGTTTCAATGAGTGTAACAAGAGGTTAAGAACATGATGTTTTCATTTATGTTGAGAACTTAGATCAGAGGGTAGGTTGATCTAAGAAGCTTTTTTTCCAAAACACTCATAGTTTGTAGTTTAATAGTGAGTAAAAGCAGCATTCCTTCCATTACACTCTGTGTGCTTTCCAGTTCAGTCATTGTATCACTTTTCCTTCAGAAATAAGGTAGAAGATGAATACCAGTATAATACTGGTATTTTAAGGTGAAAATGCAGTATGGGGAATAAACATTTGTTTTGAGGAGCTTTGTAAGAAAGATTAAATGTGGGGTTGGGGGGATGGAGAGGAAGAGCTTTTGTTTGCCCTGTATGTGTTTGTATATAATTTGTATGCACATATTAAAAAAGAAATGGGCAAGACTCTTTGTCTTGAACTTGACAGTCTCTTATTTTACCTTTATCTTATTTACCTTTATCTTATTGTGTTTGAGTCACAATAAGATTTTCTTCTGATAGACTGAACACTTAAAATTATTTCTATTTTTTCAACTTTTTTCAATCTGTAGCTGGCAAAAGAGTGGGCAGAAAACCAGAAAGTAAGAGAGAGGAGTTACTGCTTCTGCTTAGAGAACTTATCTTCTGACTTGAATGCAGGGAATCTTACAGCAAGTTTTACAGCAAATTTTACAGGTAAGAGTGTTATTTTATAAAGCTCTCTTCTCATTTTCAGGTAGACAGTGCCTTGTAATGAGTTAGCACTTGCAGGTAGGGTTTGTAAAAAGTTGCTTTAAATACAAAAATGGTCTTGAATTTGCTACTTTCCAGCACGTTTGTAACTGAAATATGGATTTTGCAGGGAATTTCTGCTTTTAAGTGTTCAGTACAAAAAGTAATTTGATTGCTGCTGGAATATTTTCCATCTCGTTTGGGATTTCCTTTCAGCTTCTTTTGGTAAATAAAATAACCCTTAACTTGCTCTTTTTTTTTTTTATATACAATGCTAAGTTCAGCCTTAAGAATGCAGAATAAGGTTAAAAGCTGTAGTCTTTTGCTATGGCTTTTCATAGCTTAAAAGATGAACAGATGGGTATTCCTGAAGTATATGCAATATGTTAATCCTAGTGCTTCTAGAGTCAAAATAATTATCACCATTTTCCTTTTAATATTCTAATTTTAAAACGTATTTTTGGGTAGCTCATTTTAAAGAAAGTGATTTGGCAAAACAGCTTCATCCAAAGGAGGATGACTTAATCTTTTTGATGGTCCAAAAGAAAAAAGATGCCTTTGGGGAAGAAAGTGAGATGGAGACCCAGATAGTGAACCATGTTGGTCTCGTGAAACGATTTGCTCGTGCATCTGGCTGTGCAACTGGTAAGCAAATGGAGTTGAAATAAAAGTTGCTCTTGTAAAGGTGCTGCTTTGTAGCTGGCAGTTGATAATTATAATATACCACTTACCTCAGAGGAAAGAGAGTTGTTTTTCCATGTCCATTTCATGCTAGAATCTTGATGAAAAGCCAGGACCTGAAGCTGCAGACCTGCTTTTCCCATTCAATTTTCTAGGGACTTCCTTCAATACAGATGATAGTAATTTGTGTGAGAACAGAAACTGCTGATGAGTAGTGCTCTGTGTACACCCTCAGGAGTGCATTGCTGTGAGGTACAAAGTGCCATGAACTTCAGTGGTTTCACTGACTAGAAACTTCCATCTTCTAGAACTGCAGTTGTGAATTATCAAGGGTTACTGGGTGTCTGCATCAATGCTGCCTGATTAAAACAGTGATCTGAGTTGTTTTACAAAACACTGCTTTTTGTTTGTTAGTTTTGAGGGGGTTTTGAGGGTGGGAGGGGAAGGGGTTTGTTTTTTTGCAATTATTAGCTGTGGGCTCTAATAGAAGGCAGCACCTGGTTCTGATGAATTATTTGAGTGACCTGTTAGAATATATTTCAGTTAACAATTTGGATATTCTTTGAATTAACAATCTGTTGGTTTTTTTTCCTTCCCCCCACTGCTTTTCCCAGGACAAAGGGAGCAGCACACTGTCTGTCATCTTTCTGTGCAAACTCGAGGCAATTTGTCATTCTTCATAAATAAGCAAGTGAAGTGTGTAGTGATTGGCTCCTTGGTGACCACGCGCCGAACATTCAGAGGTCTAATGCTATTACACAAGAGTTGCCTGGCTAGACCCATCATCAATCCAAGTTATGATTACTTCTGTCCCAGGGGCTTGCCCACAGCTTCAGAAAGTGCTGTAAGTCCTGCAGCCAGAAGTGATAGTTAAGGGTGACAAAGTTGGACTTTTGGGTCTCATGAGTTTTGTGAAACTGGTTTTTTGCCTGTTGCTTTGTTTGAGGTGACCATGTGTAAACAGACAAGTTCTCGAAGCATGGAGACACTTCTTTTCAGAGTTGGTGAACTGGGTGGAGAGACAGTAGTCTGGGTTGATTTAGGTGTGTATTGTGATAGGGAGAGGTGTCTCTTCAGGAAATAAGATGAGGTCTGGAAAAGATAAAGCAAAACAAAGACATGTAGAGTAAATGAAACTTTTCGCTTCAGCTTTTGAGTCAGGATTGGGTGTGCAACTTCAGCAAACCTAGATCAAAAGCTTCCAAGGCCTTTGAGTTTTTGAGTCATAGCTAGAAGGGTGGGGGACAACCTGATGAAAATATCTAAAGTGAACATGGAAGTTTCGATCAACCTTTCATTCATTGCTTTTCCCCCTGCACCTTCAGGCGTTAGTTATGAATGAATACAATGAAGATCAAAGGAGAGCCATTGAGACAGCTTATGCCATGGTAAAGGAACATCCAGAGCTTCCCAAGATCTGCCTCATCCATGGTCCACCTGGAACAGGGAAATCAAAAACTATTGTTGGACTTCTGTCCTGTATTTTAAGAGAAGTAAGTGAATGTGATGCCATCCTTACGTGCTGGTGTTCAATTTCCTAATGGAAGTTAGTGACAGCTTAAACTAAATGGAAGTGTAGTATTGGTAATTACTGGCAGTGTAATTCGTTAAGCTGACTTAAATCTGCACTGTGTAGAGTGTGAAGATGGAAATAATATATTTTGGGCATCTTGGAAAACACTTATTGCAGAGAACTTAAGATATAAAATCAAGAAAACATGAACAATTGGTAGTATAAACAGTTGTTATGTGAAAATTTGGTTTCCTTAATGTTTTGATGTACTAAAGAATGTTATTTGGCCTGTCCCATTTAATTGTTTTCATATTAGTATCCAGTAGATTCATCAAATACATAATCATTGAAGGAATTAATGCAAATAATATTAATACATTTGACTTGTTGCTGAATGTCAGACATACCTTTAGAGATACTCAGGAGCAATAGTCCCCATACTCTGCATGCTGAATGAGTGTAAGTCTGGCTTTTAAATCACAAAACCAATCTAAAGAGCCTGTTTTGGTTTATTGTTAATTAATCTACAGAACATGAGGAATGATAAAGCATCTCCAAAAATAAATTCCAAGATCAAGCCAAACCGTTTTCTAGTTTGTGCCCCATCAAATGCTGCAGTTGATGAACTCATGAAAAAGATCATCGTTTCATTTAAGGAAAAGTGCCAGAACAGACAGGAGCCCTTGGGTATGGTTTATTTTAAAATTCTGTTTATATGTTAAAGAGACTAAGCTTGAAGGAGACACTGGAACAGTTGATTACATGTAATACTTCTGTACTACTGTAAGCAGCTTTTTTCTCTTGCAGAACACGACTGGTACATCTTCATAGTGTTATTAATTTTAATGTGCTTTTCTAAAAGGTGTATTATGATTTTTTTCAAATAAGTTGCACTTTGTCTTTATATAGACATTGATCCTCCTGTTCACCAGTTTTTAAGTACACCCTCAAGGTTTGAGCACCAGACTATCACCTTGATTTTGAATAAAATTGGACTTTCACTGACCATGCTAATTTGACACATTGAAGCCTGTCACTTTTTTTTTTCTCTTCTCCTAGTTTGTAACTAATACAAAGAAGATTCTGAACAAGGCATCTAGTGTGTGGTGGGGAAAAATAAAATAAATCCATGTTGGAGCCAAATGTTAATCCAGCATTGACTTACCAGCTGCATTGCTGATGGTACTCAGCAATTTTTTTGAACTTAGCAATTCTGTAAATTTTAGAAAGAAGACTGAGAATAAGAGGTGGTTCTGCTAATTCAAAATAACATTGTTAACCACCACTAAAACATGGGCAAACAGCTTTTTCTTTCAGAGTTTGGAATGACTGAATTTTTTGTAGCTGCTTTTAGATAACTGTGCAGTGGCGGTGAGGGAAGTAAGGAGTCCAAATCAATGTGATTGATAAAGCAAACTTTGATTTATTGAATACACAGTGTTACTTTTATACCCTTTTACAAAACTACTTGTCATGATCTCATTGGTTAGTCATGATATCATCGGATAGCTCTATTTCCATGCTCCACCTTCAATATAGCAACATACACATAGAGTTCTCAGGGTTCTTTCCTTATTCTCTATTATTCTACTTCTCTATCTTGTCCTTGTGTTAGTTACTTTGTTATAATCTTATATGCAAGGCCCAAGGCCTACCTTTGTTAAGCTAACAAAGAGACCTGTTCATACTTGTGTTAAGCTAACAAGAGATTGCTTGTACAATTGCTACTTATGTTTAAATTCTCAGGGGGCTAGCAAAGGCCCATGGTCTTGATGATCAAGCCATTCTTCAACCTAAGTACAGTCTTGCAAACCCCTGAAAAGTAAAGCATGAAAAGCCTTGTTTGATATCCCTGTTTAAATTCTTTGCCTCTCATACCAAAGTGCAGAGCTGGTTGGAGCAATCTAAAAGTATTTTGACTTCAATTTATTCAACAGGAAATTGTGGTGATATCAATTTAGTGCGACTTGGTTCTGAAAAAACCATCAACAGTGAAGTCCGGGGATTTAGCCTGGATAAGCAAGTTGAACATAGAATGAGTAAGTAGCACACACATCAGACTTCAGTCTCCTTCAGGAGCTTGGTGATGTTTTATACTTGGGTCCTTTAAGAGGGAAGATCTGGTGAAAGATTATTCTGCAACAGTGCTTCGTAAGCCTTGTTTTTTCTGAGTCTTAGTGGCAAAATGTCTCTTTACTTATGGCCTAAAATCTTAAGCCAAACCAAAGAAACCAGCACGATGACTTCTTTGTTTGTTTCATTATTTCTTTAAAAAAATGAATGTTTAAGCTGTCACTTTTAAGCAATGCAGCTGTGCAGCATTTGGGAGCTACAGTTGGAACTGGGTCTCATTACCTTCGTTTTACATAGAGTCTTCAAGGTTAGAAAAGACCTTCAAGTCCAACCATCTGCCCTACAACCCCTAACATTAAGCCATGTCCTGAAACACCACATACACTTGTCGTTTGAACGCCTCCAGGGATGGTGCCTTCACCACCTCCCTGAGCAGCCTGTTCCAAGGCCTCACCACTCTTTTCTGTGAATAATTTTTTCCTGATATCCCATCTCAACCTCACCTGGTCCAATGTGACCCCACTTTCTCTTGTCCTGTTGCTCATCACCTCACCACAACCTCCTCTCAGGTAGTTGCAGAGACCAGTGAGGTCCCTCCCCAGCCTCCTCTCCTCCAGGCTGAACAGCCCCAGCTCCCTCAGCCTCTCCTCCTCAGACCTCAATGGACAAATGGAAAACGCAACAAAAAAAATTAGTTTGATAACTGGATAATTTAACGTGCGTGACTGAGAGCAAGTGTTGCTGTAACATAGTTTTTCTGCTCTTCCTGTATGTTTTCCTGGTTTTTATGACAGAACGAAAGCCAACTGATGGTGACCAGGATATGCAGAAGAGAAAAGCAGCCCTGGATCAACAGCTGGACATGCTGGCTCGTCAACGTGCCATGCACAGATGTGAGAAGAGGGAGGTAATGAGATAACAGTAGTTTTAATCCTGTTGGTTGGGTTTTTTTAATTCATAACCCTATTCCAAAGAGCCAAGAACTTGTTGTTTTAATGTCATCTCAGAGTAGATGTCTCTTCACCTGCTTTTTCAACTAGTGGGAAGGTTGGTTAGCACCACAAGAGGGAATCTTTTTTTTTTTTGGGGGGGGGTGTCTATTTATACTGGTATTTTCAGCAGGTCAGTTATGGTACTTCTTCCTCTGGTGGTCAGTAGTCTTCGTTTGGTTCCATCACCAGTGTAACCATATTTAGAAAACTTAATGATTTAACTTGTGCACTTCAAAGCTCTTGTTTAACTGGAAGAATTAAGTTACCGTGCAGACAGAGATTTTGGGATGTGTGTTCACTCAAGGTTTTCCATTTTTTTTGTTTAAAAAAATTGGCATTTGTGCTCAAATTACTGATTTCTGATGGTAAACCACTTTCCCAGCTGCACAGAAATGTGAAGTGTAGTATTATGTAGGGAAAGGCTAAAAACGGATCATTTTCTAAGAAACTGATCCGCTTTTTCAGACATGTTTGATGTTAAAAGGCAGTCTGAGCAAGTCTAAATGTTTGGGAAATTAATTAGGGTATGGAAGGAAAAAGGGTATATGGGAAGTGTGTGTTAATTATGCCTGCTATTTATGTGGTTTCTCTTTCCACCCCATCTAGAGTCAAATGTTAGATGATGAAATAGGCAGAATTTCAAGGGAGAGACAACAACTTGCTTCTCAACTAAAGGAGGTAGGAATTTCTCTTTAGGGCAACTCTTTAATAAAATCTCAGCTAATCTAGTTAGATACTTGGTATCCTTTGATTGTAGTGGAGGTCTGATGTTTATAGGACTGGGAGTTTATAAAGTAGTAGCTTATTAGATACAGATCATAATAAGTTATGGACAGTTTGGTGTGGACTCTAGGTCTACTCTGGCTGCATATTGCAAAAAAATGAAAAAAAATGTAAAAAGCCCCAAACAAAAAATGCAATCAGTGGATGGGAATATTCACTTTTACAGATAGTGTTAAATGAAATGTAAATTTAGCAAAGAAAGTGATAGAAATGTGCATGTCCTCATGTTCTAGGATGTCTTGTCATCACCACTTTCATGCCCCTTAAAATCCTACAGGGACTGAGATATTTTTAAATGTTTTTAGATAAAGCAACAGCTGGAAGACTTATTTTTTTAATTAATGCAAGGAGAAAGATTTGAAAGTGGAAATAGGCACTGACAGCAAAACCAGTCAAGGCTGAGTAGCATGAACCATGAGATGAATGAAAGGTTCATCTTCAACCAGTAGATGCTGCCTCGTAATGCTCTTGGAGGTGTGGAGTCACAAATGTCACAAACTGAACTTTGCTCACAGTTACTGTGGCTAGATTGCATGGCTGTAGACATAAAGCAATAAAATAATTTGCCACTTCAAAGGTGGTGTCATTTAAAGTGAGAGTAACACTTCAGTTAAGCCACCTTGTGACTTTCATTTGTGGTAATGGAGGCAGTTTGTTTGGGGCGACGTGTTGTGTATGATCTGTTTGAATTGCCCAGGCAGTTAGAAGTTGGTCTGAGCTGATTCAGGAAGACTAAAAGAGGAGACATGTTGTCTTGTTGTACTTGAAGGTCCGGGGCCATGCTCAGAAGGTACAGGCAGATATCATCCTGGAGGCTGACATCATCTGCTGCACCCTGAGCACGAGTGGAGGGGGGCTGTTGGAATCTGCTTTTTGGCGGCGAGGGGGGCAAGGATTCAGTCCCTTCTGCTGTGTCATTGTGGATGAGGTCAGTCAAGCTGTTTAGAACTACAGGATGTTCCACCTCTGAAGGTCTGCCTTGCTTTCTGCCTGAGCTACTTTTGATTGTTTGGCTGCTGGTAAAATATACTATGTGTTTACTGCCCCATCCCCATGTTTTAACCGGTAACCAACCCGTCCTACCGCATATAATAACTTCTTATTGCTTCCTTTTCTGACTTGTTTGGTGCTTTAATGGTAAATGGCTTTTACTTAAAAGTCATGGCTAAAGTGTGGCTCTTGCTATAGAGGTTTCTAGATGGCTGGGTTGTATTTGTATGTTTGGAGAGAGCTTTATGTATTTAATAATAACAAACATCACTTGGAGTTTTTGGGTTTTTTTAATAGAGAAAAGTTATTTTGTTTTGCTCTCTTTTTTTCTACAAGCTTTGAAAAGCATTTCTGAGTTATTCTGGATCTGTTACAGAAAATTTAACATACCTCCTTCTGCTCCTTTACTTACAACTTGTTTTTTTTGTCCTGTTTGCATGTACAAAAGGCAGGACAGTCCTGTGAAGTGGAAACGCTGATTCCACTGATGCATCGCTGTAGTAAACTTGTCCTTGTTGGAGATCCCAGACAGCTCCCTCCTACTGTAAAATCACTAGTAAGTGTTCAAACTGTATTTCTTCATGCTCTAGAGTGGATGTACTATAAGAACAGTATCTATAGAAAAGATGTATAAAAGGAGAAAAGGCACTTCAGTGTCATATCATGATGTGTATCAGATGAGAACTTTTGCCCTGATATGTTTAGTCTCTGTTATGTGGAGACCATATCAATGAATCAAATGTGAGAATAAAGCTCATGAGATGTGGGTGCAGCCTCTTCAGACTTCCCTGGGGAAGCTGGGAACTGGTTTCTTGCACATAGAGCAGCTGTGGCAACACACATTTCAATGCCCTCGACACTCAGTTCACGGTGGACGTTGTGTTGCAGCAGGCTCTGCTGTTCCATCATGTGAGCTTCAGCCAATGTCACATTCCTTGAATTCTTTCCTCCAAGGAATGGAGGATCAAGACTACCTATATGTGGCCTTCCTCACTCTATGGATGTGTTCTCAGGATGAATGTTTAGGAGCACTTTCTTGAGTCCAACCATAAACTGTTTCAAACCTTCATAAAGGAAGAAGGAGAACCAAACTGGCCTCTCTAGAAGGGTGAATTGTCTGGAGACTGTGCTTGTTTAACAAGATCCCACCTGAAAGGTCTTGTTTTTGGACATTGTTGGTGATGTTAAAACTGTTAATATGTTGTGACTCACAAAGGAAAGTTGTCTTGCTAAAGACTGCACTGACAAAAATTCAGATTTATGCAGGTGTTCTCTACTGAAACAAGACAACAAACAGAAAACTGAAGTGCGAGTAGGTGTCATTTTGCCAGCAATTCAGGAGTTTAGAAGAAAATACCAACTAGTTTTAAATCCAAAAAGCAAATTCCTGTTGTTAATTTGGGACCTGAGTCCCCAGAGATCTCCCCAGTCTCCTGTTTTCCCTTTGGCAGAAAGCTCAGGAGTATGGCTATGACCAGTCCTTGATGGCCCGTCTGCACAGGCACCTAGAGGAGCAAGTTCGCAACAACGTTTTCCGGAGCCTGCCGGTTGTGCAGCTGACTGTGCAGTACAGGATGCACCCTGACATCTGCCTCTTCCCTTCCAACTATGTTTATGGCAGGACTCTAAAGACTGACAAGTGAGTAGCTCTCTGGCCTCCTTTCTGAGCAGGGGTTCTTTCAAATAAACCTTTTCAAATCAGGATATTCTTTTGAGTCTAAAACTCCTTGAGATTCAACAGGGAGGAGGATACCTACTGGGAGAAAACTTGCCTTCCATCTGTCTTAGTGCTGGCTGTGAGATGTAAATTCACTAGATCACTTGAAATTAAGCATACTTACTACTTAGAGTTAATTTTCAGGCCACAGGTGGCAATGAAAATTAAGGACTTGGGGCAGGGGGGGAAGCTGAAAGTTGCTTGTATTTGATAATCATGGTGTAAATAAACGCGGTATCAGCTATTAGAATTTTTGTATAGTTACTTAGTAATGAAAATGTTACTTGCAGAGCAACGGAAGAGAACAGATGTTCTTCAGAGTGGCCATTCCAGCCCTACCTTATTTTTGATGTAGGAGATGGTCGTGAGGAGCGAGACCGTGAGTAAGTCCTGCTTTCTACTCTGCCAAACTTTAGATTTGCTGAGACTCAGTTACCTGCAGAAGAGTTGTCTTATGTCTTCTGTTTCCAATATGCAGTAATCAGCCAGAACTGCCTTTTCAACTTGATTTGATATTACAAAAAAAAAAGTTTACTAAAAAGCGTGGGTTAAATGTTTTTTTATTATTTTTTTTTTAATCTGAAACTGTTTTTGATCCCGATTTGACTTTCTGCTAGATGGCAGTGAATTCCCACAGTCTCATGTAGCCCTAGTCAACAGTCTCTGACTTCCAACTTAATTTATTTTTATCAGTGACTTTCCTTCACAGCTGCACGCTGAGGTGATGCCAGAAGGTGGCAGGCTTAGTCCTCCCTTTAGCCTATTCCAGAAGGAATGCAAATCCATGTAGTTTTAAGGGAACTTGAGGTTCAGCCTTTTCTACCAATACTTCTCCCTGAGAAGTTCTTAGAGCCTCTCTTTGAGGCTGCAAAAGTTCAAGACAAGCTTTGACTCACAGTCCCTCTACAAATTGGGCTGAAGAGTTGGATTTGAAAGAGCTGTCAAATATATTTCTGTAATGTTTCCACTCTGTCTTGCTCAGCTCTTTTAGTAATCCTCAGGAAGTGAAGCTGGTGATGGAATTAATCAGAACAATTAAGGAAAAAAGGAAAGACCTGGGTCTGCGTCGCATTGGAATAATTACCCCTTACAGTGCACAGAAGAAGAAAATTCAAGAACAAATGGACAAAGTGTTTAAGAATAACAGGTAAAGGTTTCAAATAGAACTTGGCTCTTGTATGTCAGTCTTTTGTTCAGCCTCTTAATGGCAAAAACTCTCCAACTTCCTTTTGGTGTGTCCAAAATCTGTACTTAATCATAAAGGCAACGTGCAAGCCTTTTGCTTGAAATGGACATGATCTCTTTGCACTATTTCATAGTTATTTCTTGTGTACAGGCTTTGATTATATGGCAGTTCTGAATAAACCTAAAATTCCAAGCCAAATGGACCTGAACAGCTTTTCAGCAGTGAAGCTGGCCTCAGAAAAGCAAACTTAGCTTTAGGTTCATACACTGGCTCTTTTAATACACCGAAGCAGACATTTACCCTGTGTTATTTTGACAGCTGATCATTAAGGATAGTGTGTAGGCTATTTGCATCAGTGTGTTGCTTCAACTGACATGATTTACCAGCTTGCTAATTCTTTCTTCAACAGCCCAGGAGAAGTGGACACAGTGGATGCATTCCAGGGTCGAGAGAAAGACTGCATCATCGTGACATGTGTCCGGGCAAACAGCACTAGAGGGTCAATTGGGTATGTTTCTCTGTGGTGATTTCAAGTCCCATTTCCAGTGGCACTCTGGATACAGTTATTACGTTTTAAATATGACCAGTAAGAAAATTATTAGACAACAAGTCAGCACTGTTCCTGTTTTGAGATCTCTGAACAAAAGGGCCACGCAAGTGCAAAGTATTGTGTTCTGCACTGCATGCTGATGAATTTGCATAGCCTGTCACTGGTTCAGTTTGGCAGGAGTGGTGCTGGGAACTTGGCTCTTTGCATCAGTACTGCAGCACTTAGTTTTCTTCTAGGTTTTTGATAATATTGTAACTTCCTGAGCTGCTCTCTTGCAATGAAATCCATTTTCTGTTGCTGTCCTATAAAAGCAGCATTCTGTCTATCCAAGTATTGTTACCTGTGTATGTCACTAGGAGTCTGGTGCAGATGAGCTGATCTCTGATTTGTAGCTGCATGTGCTTGTCTTTTGAATTAAGAGATTTGCAGGAATTCTTGATTCAAGGTCATGGATTTGATTATTTTATGTGGGTCTTTCTTACCTGAACAGGAAGAACTAGATACTGGGTGTGCTGTTTACCCCCAGGCTGCTACAGCAGTTGTTTTGTTGCTGTAACTTACTGATCATTGTAGTTTAAAGAATGTAGTGGAAATATGCCTTTGTATAGTTCACTGGCTTTTAAGTTAAACTATGGGAAGTCTGTTTGTGGAACAAACATCTGTGTTTCCTCATCCCAGGTTTCACTAAGCCACTTAAGTTTCTCTGATACTAATTTTATGATTGCTAGATAAAGGGCTTTTAGTTGTCCTGATCCATTCTACTTGGGGAAGAGAAAGAATCCAAATCCTGTAGTAAACAACAATGATGGGTTTTTTTTGGTAAGATTTCTTAATCTACTTGATGGAGTTTGGAAACTGAAGGCAGGTAGGACTGCCAGTTGTTTTGGCTGACACAGAACTTAACCTCTATCTGTGAAGAAAAAGACTTCCCAGGTTTATATGTATTAAACGTTTGGCAGTTCACTGCTTTCAGAGTTGTACACACTGATGAATTGGATGCCTCTGTTTCAGGGTCAGGTATCATTGCCAAGGTGTGATGGGAAAGTTTGCAGCACCCTTACCTATGATCTTGTAGCTGAGCAAAGTATTTTGGTCTCCAAGGTTGCTAGTCCAGCATTAAATTTACTCTGAAAGTAACTTGCAAAGCAAGGAGAAAGCTGTCCAGGAAATAACTGAATTATTTCTTTTTCTTTCCTGAGAAAATAATCCTGTAGTCTTTGAGTTGTAAAAGCTGTTGGAAATATTTTGTAGTCTCTCAAGATCCTTTTTTTCCCCCCTAAGACCTAGAGAACTATAATATCTGTGCTGCTGGATTCTCTTTCCCAATCTGTTTTCTGCCTCTTACCTTTTTTTTTTCTGCCTTGCCCAAATGTTCTGGGGTGGCTCAGGGGCTTTTGCAGTCCCCACTGCAAGGATTGGAAATTTCCTGAGGAGCAAGTCTCAGTGCCCTGACCACAGTGCCAGGGGATGATGGACCTGTTCAAACTCAGTTTTACAAAGACTTTGCTTTTTATTGCAATCACTGTTGGTATAGAATGAGCTGTGCATTTTGGGAGCGTTTTCATTAGAGAAGAAATAATTGACATTAGTTTCACAGATCTTTTTTTGAGTTCTGGTAAATAAGCCCCAACAAAAATCAACCTTTAGAAATACTTTAAGCATTTGTTTGTTTTGGTTTTCAGTACCTTGGTTTGTGATCCCACAAAAGCAGCCTAGACAGTCTGATATTTGCACTACAAACATTTTCTTCTGCAAAAATATACTTACCAGTCTTGAAGCATGACAAAGCAAAAGTCTTCCTTCATGTGCTTCCAGTGCAGGTCACCTTTAAAATAAAATATTCATGTCCAACATTTCACTATTTCAGTAGAAAATTTTCCCATTAATCATGCCAAACATTATTAAACTATATCAGTTCAAGTAAAAAAGAAGCTTAAAGTCTTGATAGGTGAAGTGAGGTTGATGTCTTCTGTACTTTGAGGAACACTTAAGGAAGCAGTGGTTGGCATTAAGAGGGGATTTGCTCTAAGAAAGGAAACCTCAAGGCAAGATCTGGAAAGAACTGGAATTCCCTGTAAGGAAGCAGAGTGGTGACAGGAAACAATTCATGCAAAGCCCTTCATGTAAGACAAGGCTGCTGCAGTGGGATCTGGGCATGGGTCATGAACTGCCTGCTTCTTTGTACCTGCTTCTGTTACCTTCATTTCAATGCAATTGTGAGTTACCTCTTTTTTTCACAATGCTTCTTGCAAGAAGTAGTTTTCAGAGCCTGGTTTTGTCCTGTCCCTCAGGTTTCTGGCAAGTCTTCAGCGTCTGAATGTTACAATCACCCGAGCCAGGTTCAGCCTCTTCATCCTTGGAAGACTGAAAACACTCATGGTAGGTGCAGGGGAAATCAGATGATCTGTTGGGATCCACCCTTCTAGGTCAAGTCAGGGTTGGGGAAATTAAAAGCATTCTCAGGCTGCTCCAGTCCGGAGGGGGGGACCCTTTTCTGGTGCATTGCTGCGTTAGTACAACCCAAGTCCCCAGAGGGTTCTTTTGAAAAGGTTTGGCTCTGTCACAAAAGCTTTTAAAAAAAATACTAGTAAACCTGTTTTCCTTGCTTTCAAGTAGGAAAGTTATAAATTACTTACCCACTGTAAACTGTAACACACTCTTTGCAACTCAAGGTTGGGGTTTGCAAAGAATCTTCTCTCTCCTGGTAAGAGAGGGTGATGGCAGCAATAGTTCCTGTTTGATCCATGCTGTTTCTCCAGCTATTGCAGTTGTCTGTGGATAACTTGAGCAAGGAAAATTATTTTAAAAACAAAGCAAACCACCCCGAAACATTTCCTTGATTTACAGATTGCTTTTTTGACACTTCTTTGTGTAGTTGTGTGCTTTCTGAGCATACTCCTTGCTTGTACTCTCTGAAACGGGATTCTGAAAAAAACCTGCCTATTTAGGGGTGTATAAAGTCCCAATGAATGTGTAGGGAGTGCTCTTGAATGGTCTTCGTGTCTTACAGTACTTGGTTTTTATTCTCCTTCCACGGGTGGGGGTGTTACCTACAACACTAGAGGGCATTAAAGCCATGTTCCTGTTTCACTCTGTGTAAGAGAACTCTTCTGGCCTTCTTAACTATAGAAATTGTCATTTTAAATAGTAGCTCAGTGATGGCTGAAAGTACCTTCCCTGTGTTACAGCAGCCAGAGTGCCTATTGCTGTTTTGCAAGTGAAACATAAGATTCTTCTATTCCAGAAGGAACATAACAGTGGTTTCCATGACAGTTGTGTCAGGTACCTTAATTAAAGGGGTTGTACCTCCTCTGACACCTCTGTCCAGTTGTGTTGATTTCTTTCTGATAACTTCTTTTTGGGGGGATGGGGGGGTGTCTCTTTTTTTGTTCTTTTAAAGGAAAATAAAGACTGGAACGCGTTGATTCAGGATGCTCAGAAAAGAGGTGCCATTATCAGGACATCAGAGAAAAGCTACAGGAATGATGCTGTTAGGATTTTGAAGCTCAAGTCAACGATGCAGCCCCCGGCCAAGGTGGGGACAAAGCAGCCTCCTCTGGTGCAGGCTGCTGCTTCCAGTAGCAAGAGGATTGAGCTTGCAAACCCAAGTCCTGGCAGTGCAGTGCCTCAGGGGAGCAGAGGACCCCCGGGGGCTCAGGCTGCAGGCTCCAGGAGGGGCAGTGTCTCCACCCCCCCAGGGGCTGCAGCGCTTCCCAGGCCCCAGAAACCACGGGATCCAAGGACGGCCAGTACGGCTGGGACACCTGACACCCAGGGGAAGGAGCAACCCTCAAAGGACAGTGATCAGGCAGCCCAGAGCAATCCAGGACCAACATCACAGCGAGGCCTCCCTCTGCCCTCAGCTGCCAGGGATCAGATTTCCAGAACAGAAACTTCCAAGAAGCCCCAGCAGACCCTGGGACAATGTGATGTGCCTCCTGTGTTGCCTTCTGCGGGTCGGCAGGAGGGTGACTGCAGAGCTCCTGTAGCAAAAAGCAGTTCAAAAGCCCCCAGTGAAGGAGGGCAGAGTTCTAGCAGTAGGTGGAACAAAGACTATCGTGTTTTAACAAAGAGAACATCAGATGAATCCCCAGAGAGCACAGAAACAAACAGTGTCAAGAGAAAGAAGACCTGACTTCAGTATTGGCTCATTACTGGAAATCTGTTCCCAGATTTCTATCTGGCATGGACTGTATTTTAAATTATTTAGTATGCCTGGAACTCCCTTACATTGATACCACTACTATCAGTAGATCCATCTTTCTCCCATCCTGTCCTTAATTGTGAGAGGGACTTGATACCTGACAGTTGGTAGCTTTGAGCTTTTGAAAGGCAAAGTTGGGTAACTGCATTGCTTGGAAGAGCAGTGGATTTTGTCATCTAGGAAGTTAAGGTTGTAAATGTTTCACAATGTATATTTGTACAGTATACAAAATTATTTTAAGATTTAATTTGGCAAATATATAACTTCCTGTTTCCTTCTGCAAATGCTAATTTCTTAGTGATGTAATTTTTTATGAAGAGCTACAACAAAGCAAAAAACCCCAAAGTCTCCATCCCCAAACAAACCAAAAATACAACTGCCAAGCAGCAAACAAAAAAGTCCCCAAAACCTGAAAACTTCTTTCCCTTTGCACTAGTAATTCTAATTTATTTGATAGCAAAGAGTGAATGTTGAAAATATGGTAGCAGTGATTCTTTCTCGTGCTCCATTAGTGCCTCAGGACAGACTGAAGGCAGATGAACCTTGGTTGAATGGAGAGAGTTCTACTTAATTTGTCTTTTATTCCCTGTTTTTATAGAACAGAGAGCTTTTGTTTGTACAGATGTGCCTTGTGTTTTGCTCTTGCTGCTGCTTCATCAGTTGGAATCTTTTTCTTGTTGCAGTGGCAACACAAACTGCAGATTAAAGCCTATGAGGTCTCTTTGGTCCTAATGAGTCCATGTGAGGAGTGATCAACAGAACTGGAATCTTCATCAAAGATCTAGTTAACACTTCCTGGTAATGACACTGGAGTTTCTTTGTAAGGAGCTTTTGGAGATTTACAAAGATAAAAAGCAGCTCATTCTAGATGTTATTCCTGGATTCTTTCCAGTGTGTTGATGAAGAATATATAACCAGTACAATGGGGTGGGGGGGAAATAATATTTTTAAGAAAGCCTTTCTCTCATCCTAACATTTCACAATAAAAGTGGGGTTGCTTCTATTAAGGATCACTCTGAAGTAGCACTTTCTGGAGTGTGTGTCTGGCTCGAGGAGGTGCAGAACAACATTTCAGGTGCCCAGTTTTGCCTGGGGGTAATTCTAGTGACTGCAGCACCCTACTGTGTTCATGCCAAGTCAGGTGTGTTGTGGCTGGGCCAGGTTGCTACTTCCAGGATTCTGTGTTAAAGTAGAGGCTGCTCTGGAGCAGCACTGTCCTGCTGCCCCTTCCTGACTGACTTATGCTCAACCAATATAAGGGCAGTGGCTTTCCTGAAGCAAATGAGCTGCCAGATGTCTCTGGTCAGAATTTAGCCATAAATTTTAGCTGTGTTTTCTGTCCTGACACAATCATTGCAATAAATACAGGTGCCTTCCTTAACAGCAGGCAGTGATTCAAACTGTAACTACCAGTAGAACTCACATCCTTGATGCTTCCAGCTTTAGAACAAACTTGCAACTGGTTCTTTACTGGTACCAATTGCATGGTGAGTGTGTTGGGAAGCTTTTGATTGCTGTCTGTGACTGTCCAGCTCCTTGTGTTGCACAGTACTGAGCTTTTTAAGTAATAGGGGAGAATCTGAGATACCCATGGAGTGAAATCAGCCCCTGTGCATTGTTTAGCTTTAGTTATTTGTTATGTTGCCATCTTAATTGCTTCAGTGAACTGTGACCACCTCTTGTCAGCAGTCTGTGTTCTTCCAAAGCTGCTGTGACTCTTCCTTGGTATTGTGTCCCCTGTGTGAGCAGGAAGGCTGCTTGGATAAATGTGACTGTTGTGACTGGACATTTAGGTCACTCCCACATCACAGAATCCACGTCCTGGGTGTTCTCTCCCTTTATGTTAATAGGAATGACTTCAAACTACTGTAATCTCTCAAACCTCTTGGCTCCTCTTGGCAGGGCTGTGCTGACCTGCCTGCTGTTTCTACTTAGCACATGACAAAGGCTGCTACTCTGCAAAGGGCTGTAGGACCCTATAGCTGGGGAAGCCATTTAGCCTGTCTTTATGTAAATAAAATGGAAGTTGGCAACAGTGTGAGTGGGAAAATGCTTTTCTGGCCATTCAATGCAATTTTGTCAACAGAATGTTTCTCTGAAACTTCTAGTTTTCTTTCTCCTTTATCTCCGTTTCAGAAGTGAGAGCTAGTCTTGCCACATGCTGGAAGGAATTTTTGTTTTAATGTTTCATTTGACTATATTTTGTACACATTTGCACAAACTCTAAAACACCTATATTCTTCCATAAATCAGCTTCAAGATGTGGTCAGTGGCTCAGACTCTTGTGCTTATTTAATACTGGATTTATCTGACTGAAATTGTCAGTCTTTGCAGTGGTAGCTTATTGCTCCTGTAACAGGCTGCACTGTTAATGGTGTATTTAATAAAAAAAAATCTTTGGGTTGCTGCACTTAAAACACTTTTCCCTCTTCACACATCACTCAGAGTAGGTTTGTAGTTGGAATTACCTTTTTTTTTTACCTTCTTTTATAGCAGTAACATGGCAAGCAGTAACCAAGCAATCTGCCACATTTTTTCACTGATTCAAATGAAATCTGCATTGGGGAACAAACAGATTAGGTCCAATTTTGATAACTTCTCTGCTGTTTCCATCGTGGGTTATAAAATAATTGAGTGGTGGTGGACAAGTCAGTGTGAGCTGAGCTTAGACTTGCTGTGTTCATTAAATGCCATCTCAGAACCAGTGACTGTTGTCATCTGTTGAGTGTTGAAGTCAGAAAAAAAAACCTAACCACACAGGAAAGAAACAACACAGCTTTATGTAAAACACTTTAATTGGAGTTTTTGCCCCAAAAAACCCCACCAAACTTTGGAAGAAGTGGTATTCAGGTTTTTATACAGAGGCTTCTGTGCTTCCTTCAAGCCTGGCAGCTGAATTCTCAGTGCAAAAGCAGTTCCCTCTGTGGTGCTTTCAGCCTTTGATGTCCTTGAGAGAGGAAAATCTCTTCTAAGTGTTGGACTATATTTTGTTTCAAATTTATGGGGTTTTTAATTCTTTGTACACGAAAGAGGCTTTCCAAAAGGTGGAGTATGATTCTGGTTTTTCCTTTAAGGTTTTCTGTCCCTGTTTTCCATGTTGTTACTCCAAATTATGGGGATGTGTGAACAAACCAGAGCCGTATGAATAATTATGGTATCCAAACAGGTACTTGTCTAAGAAGTTTTTCTTCTGATGTTTCATGGTCCGTGCACTGTGCTAAGGAGACCTGGCTTAGTCAGGGTGTCTTTATCAGTTGTACTCAAAGATGTCAGCTCACCAGCCAGAGGAAAACCAGCTCTTGGCAGGAGCTTTAACTTGCTCAAGGAAGTGCAACAGGGAGGGTGTTGCCTCCTCAGTGTGGGGGTGGTAGAGGATGGATCTGAGGAACACTTGGGAGATGGTGGTGCCTCTGGATTGTGACAGGAGCCAGCAGAGCTGAGAGGGGTGAAAACATCAGCTCTCCCACTCCTTTGCCTGTGCTCTCCCTTGCCTGTGCTCACCCTTCCCTTGTGGTGAGTTTGTACAAACTACCTCCTAGATAAGCTGCAGGAACTGATGAGCAACTGGTCCAATGGCTGGAGGCACAGGAGAGGGGAGACTGGGGTGCAAGGGGTGGCCTTGGGGTGGCAAGACTCCTGGCCTCCTGCTTGTCCATAACATCTACTAGCCCCCAGCCCTGTTGTGTGATGCTCGGGAAGCACTGAGCAGTCAGGATGAACTGATGGAGGTTGAACAACATTCCCAGTTGAAATCCCAAACCTAACATGGAACCCCAGTGATTTCAGAGTTGAGACTGATTTTTGCAGTTCCTGAAGTGTGCTGAGATGCTGGGATTTATTTTGGCCTGTAGAAGAGAGAGAGGGATGGGAGGAGCAGCCAAGAGCTGGAGGTGGGCAGCTCATTCACAGCCCAGCCACCCCAGCAATACCAGGGAGAAGCAGAACCAGGGTCCTAAAAATGCAAGACATTCTCTCTAGTCTGCATGAATAAATGATGGATGAAATGACTCTTGTGTTGTAAATGGAATTTCTAATGTTAATGATGTAATAGAGTCTCTTGCCACAAAGGGTCCATTCCCAAGTCTCCTTTCTTGTCATTTTAAGATGCTTGGAAAGGAGCCAAATGCCTTATTCTTGAGTGCAAATAAATGGAAGGTAAGCAGCCTTGGACATGGAGTATCCCTGACACAGGAGACCTTCCAGCCACATGTACCTGTCTGCTAAAGCCTTGACTAATTTGCCACCAACTCCCAGGCAAATAGTGATAGAAATGAAAATGAAGGTGGTTTGAGTGCACATTGTATTTGGTACTGTGAAAACACTGAAAACCTTTTTACATAGCCTACCAGGCTGAGCTGCTCTGCCTGTCCAGTGTTGCCACTGACTTCACTGTATTATCAAGCAAGAGCTCCCTTTGCTGCAGAGAAATTCCATAATTTCCCCTCTATTTAAAAGAAAATAATCCCTGAAATAGCACTAAGTGGGGGGGCATGATGGAGCTGTTGGAGCCCAGTATTGTTGCTGGCCAGGAGAGGAGGTGGCAAAAAGAGTAAACTGGTAAACTCTGGTAAAAACTAGAGTTCCATGGTAAAAAAAATAGTTGGGTTTAGGCTTTCCTTGCAGTGAAATTTGTTAGGAAACCTGGAGAATCCAAATGGCAAAGGACCCTTTAGGACAGGCTGAAGCTCTTTGCTTTTCAGATCAGTGTGTGGTTTTTAGCCAGTTTCTGCATGATGGTGCCCAAACTCCCCTGTTTGGGGAAGGGCTGGGGAGATGGTGATACAAATTTCTTCAAAACCCAGCTCTGCTCTTATTTCT